TTACTAAAAGCTTTTTAAATTCATTTTTCAATTACAGTTGACATAATATTACACCGATGTCAGGTGCGCAACAGCGATTTGACATTTACCTAACTTAGGAAATGATGGCGCCATAAGCCTAGTGCTCATCCAGCACCTTGGTCCTGTGGTTCCCCCCTCTGCTGACCCCTCCCTCTTCCATCCCGCCTCTGCTCCACCTTCTCTACCCCAGCCGCTTCCCTCCTCTCTGTCTCTCCCCCTGGCCCTACGGCTCCTTGTCTCTCAACCCTGTTCCTCCCCCTCCACCTGTCCCACCCCTTCTGTCTGTGTCCTTCCCCTCAGTCCCTCTGTAGGCCCCTTCCTCTCCCTCAGCTGCGCCCCTCCTTTCTCTCAGTCCTCCTCCACCTCAGTCCTGCCCCTCTCTGTCTCCTCCCTGAAAACTAATGAGGCTGGGCCCCGTTTCATATGCTTATTTGCCATTTAGTTATCTTCTTTGTGCAATACCTATTGTTCAAATCTTGTAACCTTTTTGCTCTTATTTTGTCTGCTTTCTTCGTACTGATTTGTATGAGTACTTTATATATTTTGCATATGAATTCAGTCCTTTGAAGAATCTTTCCTCATTCTGTATAAAACATAAATTATGTTTCAAAATGAAATTCTATGGCTCATCAAATTAGTTCAGTTCATTGTGGTTTGTGATTCAAGTCTCTTTTCCAGGGACTGAGGCAGCATGATGTCTGTAGATATGTAAATCTCCGTGAATATAAGGGTGTCCCCCCAAAAATATATACACACTTTGAATAATTATTAATTCCAATGGGTTAANATGAATATAAGGGTGTCCCCCCAAAAATATATATACACTTTGAATAATTATTAATTCCAATGGGTTAAATCTGAAAAGAAACATCAATTGAGCTATCAGCTGTTAAAGGTGTATACATTTGTTGGAACACCTTATATATTTGTGTGAAATGAGCTAACTCCCTTTGCTTAAGATCACCTCCACCCCACTGTCAGGTCCTAATTATGCAGAGCATTTATAAGTCTCTCTGTGTAATTTCTGCAGGTCCAGAGGTTTCTGTGTTCTTTCTTCCTCTGATACAAATCTTCCACAAAAGTGTGTTCTGGAGCAGCTTGCCTTTTCAAGTATCTCCATCCTGCAAAGGACCAAGCTGTAAAGATGGCGCACATGACAAACATTTTGGATATCTTGAGAAATCCTCAGCTCTTTTGTATGCATGATCCAGAAGCCATTCCAATAAGAAATCCAGGGGTTCTGAAAATTTCTCATGAAAAATTTATGCATTTTCAGTCCCTATCTGTGACTGGGCCTCACCGAGCTGTGAGCCAAATCTGGGAGCTCTGTTGTCAGTGGCTGCAGCCGGAGACCCACACTAAGGAGCAGATGATGGAGCTACTGGTGCTGGAGCAGTTTCTGAACACCCTGCCAGAGGAGGTTCAGACATGGGTGAGATCAAGACGACCCAAGAACAGCAAGGAGGCAGGAACCTTGGTGGCAAACTTGATCCAAGCATGTCGGGAGGAAGGTGAGAGAGGAAGGAAGCACCTGACCATTTCCATTTATTGAATATTTGCTGTTTGCCTGGCATGTCATGGGAACTGAATAGAAATGTGCCGAATGAATGAAGCAATGAATTTTATAATCCCGTCTAACCTGCCTCCTGCGGCAGGGAAGAAGCTTTTTGGTTTGGACTTTGCTTGTAATATTTATTATTTCTCTGAGAGTACCCCTCTCTCCAGCTTTGTCCTCTCCCCCCAGCTTCTTACCCAGCCTAAACTTTAGTATCACCATGAAATAAAACCATACCCAGGCAAAAAAGCAGGGTATAAAATGTGGAAAATAATGCCTAGAAGTTTAATCTCTGCTAAAATTTGATTGGTCTCTTGGACACTCAAGTTATTAGATTGAATGAAGGGCATTTCAATAATGAGAAAAGAATGCTGTTTACTCCTCATAGTCCTTTGAATAAAATTGCGAAGGGGAGAGAGAGAGAGAAAGACAAGAGAACAGTAAGTTAGAATTGAAGACCATAGCTATCTCTGGAGAGAGCTGGTGTGTGCACAGGAAAAAGTACATGGGTAGATGTAAATTAATTGGGAATGTTCTTGTTTTGGGGTTGGGTAGTGAATTTGTAGGCCTTATAGTTAAAACTATAAATGAATAAATTTAAAATAGACATGAGAATCATGCAAGGCTCAATGCTGATGTCATATATCAACAAATGAAGAATTAAGATTAATCCAGTTCTGTGTGCTTGCATTCCTTAAAATAATTTTGAAGATACTGATAGTGAACATGTTGAGTGCTTCAGTGTACTATATTCTAGGCGTTATATGTATAGTAATTTATTTGCTTCTCTTAATAGCTCTTGGTATAGGTATTACTCTTGCTCTATAGACAAGGAGACAGAAGCACAAAGAGGCTGAGTAACTTGCTCATGGCCCCAGGATTAGTCATTGGCAGTCAGGATTCCTGCAGGCTCCTGCATCTGCACTTTTAATCACAGTGTTTCACTGCCTCTGGTGGACACAGGGAATATTGTCCCAGAGAGATTAAAAACTTGGCCAAAGACAGGGTTATTGATGGAGCTGGAATTCTGGGGAAAGGAAAGAGAGCTTCCTAGGAGAAAGAAACATTAATGCAAGGTGCACTTGGAAAGACGATCCAGGCAAGAAAGGCCTTTAGGGTTCAGGTTTCTGTCGGGAAGGTGTGAGCTGTCTTCTAGATAAGGGAATTAAAAAGATGTAGGGGAAGTGTAATAGTAAGAGCTGCCATTGTTCTTCATGCCTATTTGAGAAATGGGTTCCCTGGTGATTCTGAGTGTATAGTGAGACTGGGAACCACTGATATAGAGGGAACTTCCACTGTAGTTGGAAGGCAATGGGGAGTCATTGAAGGGTTTAGAGCTGGGAAGTGACTGGACAGCTTTTTAAGAACTTGCTATATTGAGCTGAGAAATTCCTATGGTCTTTCTCTTATATATAAGTCCAGGACTGCCACTAACCTCCCATGGCAGGGTAGGGTGCTGTGGGAGTGGCAGTCCCCTTTCTCTGTCAGTGGTTGCTGTCAGACTAGACTCAATTTCAGAGTAATTTCTTTCTCTCTTCTAGGTTTCCCTGCTCAGAGCTCTGTCCTTGCAGACGGGAGGAACACCAAAGAACATCCAGAGGTGGAACCAAACATGTTGGACAATTTGCCCTCTGCTGGATGCCAGGTGAGTCAGGCTTTCCCCTGACTTGGTTCTCCAAGAGGGGGATCTCACCTTCCTGGTTTCCGAACCTTCCCTATCTAATCAGCCACATCCTCTTTAAGTTTTCATATAACTATCACGTAACTGTGCCTTTTCCTGGCTTACCTGTGTAAAATTTTCTTCTGACTCCTGTATCCCCCTTTGTGGTTTTATTTTTCTCTGTTGTACTTACCACTATCCCACATAGTATATCTTTAACATTTTTTTACCTCTCTTTTAATTTTTTACTTATTGATTTTAGAGAGAGAGGGGAAGGGAGGGAAGGAGAGAGGAAGAGAAAGAGAGAGAGACATCGATTTGTTGTTCCATTTATATAAGCATTCATTGGTTAACTTTTTTATGTGCCCTGACCAGGGATCGAACCCACAACTTTCTGTATCGGGATGACTCTCTATCCAACTGGGCTACCCGGCCAAGGCCTCTTTCTACTTAATGTTTTTGTTTGTTTAGTATTTTGTTTTATCTTTGGTGTTGGCTTATTCAAAGCAACCCTTATGGCTTGCACTATTCTCCTTTTTACATACACAACAAATGGCAGTTAGTATGGGGATATGATGCTGTTGTGAGGTTTTCTTTTTTTCAAAAATGCACTCCTTAATGTTCTTGTTCAATTGTAGTTTGAAACCTCAAAGACAATCAATGAAATTAATACATTGCTCTTCCTTTAGAACCATAAATAAGTCATGGGGGCGTGATTAGCAAAACATTGTCTAAGACAGCTCCCTGATGGGGAGGTAAGAGGGGAAAAAGGTAGAGAAACATTGTTCTGGAAGATATGCTTCTGAAAGTAGCACTTTGTTCCTGCAGAGTCCATCTCAAGTATCCCAAGTGGAGGTGCCCACAGGAACTGCCCAGGTAATATAAATGAGGAATTTATAAATGGGTGGATTATGAGAAATCGGGGAGTGCCTGCCCCACCTGAGGGCAGCTATGATTGAGCTGCAGTTCATGGTGCCATGTGAGAATGTGGGTCTTCCGACTTTTTAAAGAGAAGCCAAAACTCCAGTAAATAATATTAAATCTACCAATTTTTTTGTGCTGGTAGCTAACAATGAATCTTTAAAAATGACTAAAATACCNCATTAAATCTACCAATTTTTTTGTGTTGGTAGCTAACAATGAATTTTTAAAAATGACTAAAATACCCATGTGAGCCAAATAAACCCCTCTGTAGGAGCTTGGCAGCCAGTTCATGATCTCTAGTTTCATGTTCATTAATTTGCATGTTTCCCTGAAAACACAAACTGTGAATATTAATAAAACGGGTGTCATAGTCTTATGTAGTCTTCTAATACCTGCTTTTTAAGTTCAACCTTAGGTTACCCAGATTGTTGTGTGGAACTGTAGTTAATTAGTTTGTGTTGCTGGGATATTCTATTGTGTGACTGTACCAAAATATATTTATCTCTTCTACTATAAACAGACGTTTGGATTGTTTCCAGGTTTTGGATGTTACAAATAGCACTGTTATAAACATCTCTGTCTCTGAGTACATGTGAGCAAATATACCTAGGAATAGAATTTCTGGGTCCAGAGTGGTTTACCAATTATATTTCCTTAACATCTTTTGTTGTTGTTGTTAACCCTCACCCAAGGATATTTTTTCCATTGATATTTAGAGAGTGGGGGGAGGGGGGGAGAGAGAGAGGAGAGAGAGAGAGACAAACATCAATTGGTTGCTTCCTGACCCAGGCCAGGGATTGAACCCGAGACCCTTCAGTGCACCAGCCGACATTCTAACCACTGAACCACACTCACCAGGGCCATTGGTTGATTCTTATATGCGCCCTGACCTGACATCGAACCCATAACCTCAACTGCATTGGGATGACGCTCTAACTAACTGAACTACCTGGCCAGGGCCTGAGCTCTTTGTATTTTACGGATGAGTCACTGAGGCTTCACCTAACCCACACTCACAAAGCTTATAAGTGAACCAGAGCCAGGATTTCAACCCAGCTCTGAGTCCTGAGGCTGAGGCATTCCTCCAACCCAAATTTGTAGTAACTGGCAGCAGGAACTGTCTCAGAAATGTTTCCCTTCTCTCGGACAAGACAGAGGTACATTGCCAGGTCGCTGTAACCCCCAGTTAGAATACTCAGATTAGAAGCATCCTCCTGGTCTGCACATGAGCTTCACGTTCAGTTGTCTCTTGTCAGGCTCCTTCCCCCCTGGGGTAATTTCTGGGTTTTGAGCATTTGTGATTGTGTTTGTTGTTTCAGGAGTTCGTGACTTTCCAGGATGTGTTTGTGGACTTCAGCCTGGAGGAATTAACCTCCCTGAGCGCTGCTCAGAGGAACCTGCACCGGGAGGTGATGCTGGAGAACTACAGGAGCCTGGTCTCCTTAGGTAAGCCTGCCTCCCCGTGGCAGTCAGCATGGTTTACAACTCTTTTCTGTCCTCTCATGAGTCACAGTGATTCACCATGTCAGTGAGTCTCAACCCAGATCAGAGACAATATTTTATTATCAAATTCACTGTCACTCATAATATAGCTAGCACTTTTTGGGCAGTTACTATGTGTCAGGTATTAGTCTTTATAGGAACTTATATGTCTTAACTTCTTTAATTCTTATACTAGTCCTATGAGGAAATACACTTGTTATCATTATCATTATGGCCATTTTACAGATGAGGAAACAGAGTCATAGAATGAAGGTTGTCACAGGGGGAAAACAGCCCTATGTTGTTCCCTTTTCAGCAGTTCCAACATCAGATCCTGTGCTGAAGTAGAGAGCCTGGATCACTGCCCTCAGGCCCCCTCTTCAGTTTTCACTTTAGAGCAGAGTTTCTCAACCTTAGCACTATTGACATTTGGGCCAGGTCATTCTGTGTTGTAGGGGCGTCCTGTGCGCTGCAGGACATTGAGCAGCATCCCTGGCCTCTACCAGTAGCACCCCTTTTCCCCACCAAAGTTGTGAAAACAAAAATGTCTGCAGACATTGCCAAAGGCCTCCTGGGGGCAAACTGGTTAGAAACAGGCTTCATTTTTCTTTTATTTTTTAATATATCTTTATTGATTTCAGAGAGAGGAAGGGGGAGAGAGAGAGAGAGAGAGAGAGAAACAATGATGAGAGAGTTGTCACTGATTGGCTGCCTCTTGCACGCCCCCGACTGCAGATTGAGCCTGAAACCCAGGCAGGTGCCCTAATTGGGAATTGAACCAGTGACATCTTGGTGCATGGGACAACGCTCAACCACTGAGCCACACCGGCTGGGCCTCTTCTGTGTTAATTAGCATCTCCCTTACTATCAGCCTTTAGAGCCCAGCCTGGGAGGTGCCGTGTGTTCAGGACAGAACCCCCAAGTCACGAGTCTTTTTCTTTAACAGGGTACCAGTTCTCTAAACCCGACATTATATCACAGCTGGAAAAGGAGTCATGCGAGATGGAGGCAGATGGTGATACAAAGACAGGTCAAGGTGAGTAGGGAGGGGTAAGCCTGTGGAGACTGAAATCACGGGACAACCACCCCACCCAGTCAGTCTGGTATGGGGCTGGGAGCTGTTGGTCAGGGAACAGTCTTCAAAGCCCACTCAGGTCAGGGAAAAAGCTGGTAGGTGCTCTCACCTCAGGCTCAAGAGGAGTCGCCACCTCATTCGTGCTCAGTGCTTCCTTTCACCTCATCTCTGAAGCTCATCTCTTCCTACAGTTCAAGTTCCACTCCTGCCCAGCTCCAAGGAGGCCAGTTTCCTTTTCTCTAGTGCCCCAAACTCTCCACTCATCTGTGCCTTTGCTCTTGCAGCTAGAAATCTCAGGTTTTTCCTCTTTCAGCGAGATGAGCAGGAAACCACGGGCTGATTCCACTTGTCTTTCCAGCTGTCTCCTGTTTTCTCTCATGCCAGCTCCTCAGGCTTGTTAACACCCAGAGGCTTCCTCCGGCTTCCCTCCTTAACCCCACAGCCTGGTTTCCATCCCCTACCTCTGCCATTGCTCTCTCTCTCTCTCTCACTCACTGTACAACTACCCCCAACATCCCCACTGACATCCTTCTGTGGCTCAAGGAGAAGANCCTCTCACTCACTGTACAACTAACTACCCCCAACATCCCCACTGACATCCTTCTGTGGCTCAAGGAGAAGAACTTTCTAGACTTTACCTTCTCCAAGCTCTATGGCTACAGTGTGATAACATTTTCCATCTTTACAAAATGCTCTCCTGTGAATGTGTGTCAGCCAGGATCATGGTTGTCATTCAGTGGCTAACAGAAAACCACACCCAAACTGGCATAAGTCATCGAGGGGTTATTAGCTTCAGTACTGGTCATTGATTGGGCTTCAGGGATGGTTGGACTTAGGGGCTTGCTCCGTGGTGTTATCAGACATAGTTTCATTTTGTTTTTTCACTTTGCCGACGAGTCCTAGAAGTGCTCTTTCGTTCCTGTCCTGGGAGGCGTGTCCAACCAAGAAGCATTCTTAAGAACCAGGAAGCTTCTGTCCTAGAAGCTGTTAACACACCCTCCTCATTTTGGGCCACAACCCATTACTGAACCTGTAGGTGTGCCCAGTGTCGTGCTAATCGACACAGCCCTCCTGCCTTTTCCTGTTTGGGCGGAGAAGTGGGTGTCCCCTCCCTCCAGACAAAATTCAGAGACGACATAGGGGACTCCTCTACCTGCCTCTTGTTTCCTTCCTTGTCTTTGCGTCTTTAATTTGTTCATTCATTCTCTGATTCTTTCCGTCATTCCACAGTATTTATTGAGCTGCTGTGGTGCGCCAGGCCCCATCAGGGGGAACAGCGTATACAGAGGCCCTGAGGTTGGAAGGAGCTTGGGTCTTCCAGAAACAGGAAGGAGAGTGACATGCCTGAGTGAAGTGGAGGGGATAGGGGAGGAGGTTGCAGAGAGATACGGGCCAGCCCTCGTGGGGATGTATTAAGGAATGTGGGTTTCATCCCAAGTTAGATGTGGAAAAGGTATTCGGAGGTTTCAAGCCAGGAAATGAGGTATTAATGACACCTTAGAACTGTGCTGTCCAGTGTGGCAGCTGCTAGCCACATGTAGCTACTTAAATTTACAGTAATCAAAATTACATAAAATTTAAAATTACAGCAGCCACATTTCAGGTGCTCATTAGCTACATGTGACCAGTAGCTACTGTATCTGACAGCAAAGATATAGACCATTTACATTACTGCAGGGCATCCTGTTGGGCACCTCTGCTCTAGAAAGCTCCCTCTGGCTGTTCTAAGGAAAATGGGCTGTAGAGAGACCAGCAGAGGAACCAGTAGGGAGGCTGCTGAGGCCTGGCAGGCCAGAGTGGATGGAGGCTGCAGTGGTGGTCGCCAAGTGCTCGGGACTGCAGTGTTCTCTGAGAGGGGACCTGGCGGAACGTGCTGAGACGTTGGTTGTACAACAGGAAAGGAAACAGGAGTCAGTAAGTACTTCTTCAAAGACCATTTCCAAAAATTGAATCCACTGTGGTGGGTCCGTTACCCTCTTCTCCTGATGACTCCCAGGTCTGTTTCCTTGCTCGGCTGTTTCACCTGCACTCTGCTCAGGGATTTTGAGTGTCCGCCAGGATGCAAGCACTGTGTTCATTATTGTCTCTTCTGGCCTACAATCTTACACTTGGTTTCCTTGGCTTCAGTCTCTTTCCCACCCAGGGAGTTGCCTTTATAAAGCACGAACTTTTGACCGGCTTCTTACTTCCTCAAAAGAAAACCCAAACTTTTAGCAAAACATTTAAATCCCTCCCAATCTCCACGAGATCGGTCCTGTTATTTTTGTCCCCTTTCTCCTGTTTCTGCTATAATAATGTGTCTCTGTGAGTAACAAGAGTAGAGGAACTTCTGCATTTCTTTTAGATTGGGAGAAAGGACCTGAAACCAAAGATCTAACTCCAAAGCAAAGCCCGCCTGTAGAAAAACCATCCTTGGGGGCAGGAGTGGAGGATCTGGAAGGAGGTAACTTCTGGCACGTGGGACACACGGTAGAGCCTTCTGATGGCCCACTGGATTCAAGTCGGGTCAACAAGGAGAAACCTCTGAGCCCTGTAACAGAGAGTGAGCCCAAGACCCTCGCTCAGGAAGGAAGCCTCAACAGTGATGAATTTGAGAGAAGTTCAAATCTTCCTGAACAATCAGAGGGGCCTCTAGGAATGGCTCCCCAGGAACATGCTGCTCCTGGGGCTTGCACCAGTCCCCCGCCGATAGTCAGCAAACCTTCCCTCCAAGAAACCAGAATTAACAGATGTGAATTTTGCCAAAGAACCTTTTGTACCCAAGCGGCCCGTAAGAGGCACGAGCAGATCCATACTAGGAAGAAATCCTTTAAAGGTAAGCAATGCGCAGAAGCCCTCTGCCTCCTGCCGGGACTCACCAGACGTCTGGGGTCAACTTCCGATGACGAGTCGCCTGGAAAGTCATTCACCGAGCACCCAAGTGTCCCTGAGAGGATCCACAGTCAGGAGGGCTACTATGAGTGTGTCCAGTGCGGCAGAGCTTTTGTCCAGGATGTGCATCTTTTTCAGCATCTCCAAGCCCACGAGGCTGCTAAGGCCCTTCCACCTGTGTTGCCCAGCAACAGGACGCATCTGATTCGATATCAGCAGAGGCACGACTATGTTGGGGAGAGAGCCCACCAGTGCTGCGACTGCAGCAGAGCCTTCAGTCAGAGCTCGCATCTCATCTCACACTATCGGATCCACGCTCTGGAGAGGCCTTTCCAGTGCCGGCTGTGTGGGAGATGCTTCAGCCGACCCTCACAACTCACGCAGCACTATCAGACCCATTCTCTGGAGAAGCCCGGTGAGTGCAACTGCTATTGAAAAAACCCTCAGAACATTCCCAGCATCTCTGGCTTCATCCTGGAGAGAGGCCCTCTGAATGAGAACGCCTTCTGCCAGCCCTCACATTTTGAGAACAACTCGAAAATTCACCTTTGTGTGCCCAAAAAACGGAGTGGTTGCAAGAATGTACAACCATCTTTTTGCACAAGGAACTTCAACACATGCATCAGTAGTCACACAGGCCAAAAAACTCACATAGGAAAGAAGCTAATTTCACNAAGAATATTTGTGTTGCATAGGAAAGAAGCTAATTTCACCCTTCTCGGGCAGTATTCCTAGAATAGGGAGCCTTGAAGCCGACATTCTGACCAAAAAAACACTTGTGACCAGCAGCTGGGATCCAGACAGGGAATCTGTTGCCTGAATTTTTATAGAAGTTTACATACATTNTACCCTTCTCGGGCAGTATTCCTAGAATAGGGAGCCTTGAAGTCGACATCCTGACCAAAAAAACACTTGTGACCAGCAGCTGGGCTCCAGACAGGGAATCTGTTGCCTGAATTTTTATAGAAGTTTACATACATTTTCACCATACAGATGTATCGGCACAGGGCACGGTAGAAAGATTTTTGAGGTGTACCTGTATGGATTCACCCACTGGTGCAATTGGTAATATATTTACACAGTACCTCATAATATACAAAACATTGCCATGTGTATTATTTTATTTGATCTTTTAAGGAATGTTCTGTGTCCCTAGTGAGGGTATTTATTCCGTTTTACAGATAAAGCAAACTTGAAACTCCCAAGTTGTCAGTTGACTTGACCTGGGTCATAGTTTGGTTGGTTTTGGGTTTNTGTTGGTTTTGGGTTTTTTGTGGGTTTTTTGAGGTTCCATGAGATACTTATATCTTGATGCTCAACCCAGGTTTTTATTATTATTATTCCTGCCATNGGTTGGTTTTGGGTTTTTTGTTGTTTTTTTTTGAGGTTCCATGAGATACTTATATCTTGATGCTCAACCCAGGTTTTTATTATTATTATTCCTGCCATATCCTCTCTAAATAGAAGGTACAGCACTATACTGACCACATAGGTCTGAAAGCTTTCTTAGGGTGAAATGCTGATAGCCATTTCTCCCACGATTTAGGTGTAGATGATGACTTTTTGAGACACTAATTCAGGGAAGTATATTTTTGCTAAACATGATCTTGTCGATCGTAAATCTGTTACTGATCACAGTTCATTTTGTTTTGTTTTCTTGTATTGTCTGTTTTGAGGGGGTCTTTTCTTTCCTCTCCTTTTTAAAATTCCCATTTGAAAGCAGTATTTTTGCTTTCTTGGGCTCTGGCATCATCAGCATGACCAACCTCGCCACAAATCCTAATCCTGTGCTGGGTATAGGAGCCCTCAGTTGCACTAAAAATCTCTTTCGTAGCATGTTGCTGTAATGTGGAAAGCTCTCCGTCACTGCCTTGCGTGGTGGCCAGATACATAGACACTTGGTAAACACCTTGGACCTGGAGTCCCTGACTGATGCCGTGCCCGGGAGGGCGGGTTGTTGCTGTTGCCGTCACTGCCCTGCTTCTCCTTATTCAACCATTTCTGAGGCTGACCTACGATGGGCAGCTCCAAAGGCATGAAATTAAGAACAAACACGACTTGTCGGAACCGCCCAGCCAGATGAGTGCTCACTACACAGCCCATCTTCCTGCCGTCAGGATGGTTTCTACCTCATCACTGCCTTGTGAAGCCTACTTCTTTCCGCAGGGTCCTAGGTTTACTCAGGCCCTCATTCATCTCAGTCATTTCATTTCTCCCTTCTCCATTTTTGCTAAATCTCCATTCTAGGTCATTACATTTTCTTTCAATTTCCTTATCTCTGTTTTCTTAAACTTCACGACATCTACTTAGACAGAAAAAATTTTAAATCACCTCAAAGGTTTTACCAAGGCCATAATCAGGTTTCCCTGATCTCCGAGGTGATTTTTTTTGGCAGTTGGCTCGTTTGAATCCGGATCCAAACGTGGTGCACAGATTGCATTTGCCTGCCTGATCTCTTGAGTCTCTGTTAATCTAAAGCAATCTCTCACTTTTTTAATGCCTCGTGTGACCCCAAGGATAACGCAGAGATACACTTCCCTCCTCTTCACACCCAGTTCCAGATATGTCTGTTTTGGTACTTTTCTAATATCCAAGTTAAATATTTTTAAGTTTAGAAGTACTCATTTTAAAATAAGTTTATTTTAAATTGTGGAGAAAACATATATAAAATTTATCAAAAAATATTTACCATTTTAAGTAGTGTTAAGTGTAGTCACATTGTGCAACAGATCCCCAGGACTTTTTTTTTTTTTTAACTATATCTTTATTGATTTCAGAGAGAGGAAGGGAGAGGGAGAGAGAGAGAGAAACATCAATGATGAGAGAGTCGTCCTGCATGCCCTGGGCTGGGGATCGAGCTCGCAACCTGGGCATGTGCCCTGACCGGGGATCGAACTGCGATCTCCNTCGTCCTGCACGCCCTGGACTGGATCAAGCTCGCAACCTGGGCATGTGCCCTGACCGGGGATCGAACTGCGATCTCCTGGATCCTAGGTCGATGCTCAACTGCTGAGCCACACCCGGCCAGGCTCCCAGGAATTTTTTATCTTGCAGCATTAAACCTTTCCATCCATTAAACAAGAACTCGTTTCCCCCTTCCCCCAGCCATGGCAACCGTCATTCCAGCACTCACAATTTTTTCCTTCAAAGCTTTGTGTGATTATACAAGTACTGGAAGGAACCCGGCCAGTATTCCTGTAGAATGTCCCCCGTTCTAAATCTGTTTGCTCTCTGTGGTGCCCTTAAGCTTGTTCCTCTCTCTACTGTATTTTCTGTCCATGGAAGGTAGCTCTAAACTCTGGAGACTTAGATTTATCTTTAACTTTTTGGCAAGAGCACCTCATAGGTAGTTTTGTGTGTTTTATGTCCTATCCCATCAGGAGGAACACAGGGTTGGCGTTTCCCAGAGGCCCAGCCTTTTAGGTCATCGTCTAGGCCACTGCGCCTGTCCCAGGCAATGAGGTTTCAGTGCCCACCATCCCTGGATTCTTCCTGGGCCAGCTGCTGTAGTCCCTTCTTCATTACCTCGTCTAGACTTCCTCTTCCTTCCTCCATCACTCCAGCCAGTCTTCAGACACTTGAATTAAGAGGCGGTAGAGACTCCTTGAGGGGTATGTGTGAGGACACTAGGCCAGGGCTTCGGGTGTCTTGAGCCTGAACTGGAGAAAGTCAGGAGACATCGGCCTTGACTAACTTTACTCTGATGCTTCTTTCATGTGACAAGTGACAGCAGTGACAACAGGGATAGTTAGTTAACTCCGCCTGTCACTCCTGGACTGGAACACGTGGGAGATGCTGCCTCGACACTTTACACTTGAGTTGACTGTGAGGTGGACACCCGGTCTGTTACTTTGACTTTCAGCTTCGTTGTTTTCTTGCTGCTGCTCCAGCAGACTCCCCACGATAATGCTTTTCCACTTGCTTGCTTTCCAACCCAGATCCTAACATACCTGACAGTTTGGGCACTGCTCTTATAGTCAGGGGTTTTTTCTTTAGAAATACTCATGTTTTAAGCATTTTTGTGTGATTCTGCAAGTAATACATACTCCTTGAAGGNAACATACCTGACAGTTTGGGCACTGCTCTTATAGTCAGGGGTTTTTTTCTTTAGAAATACTCAAGTTTTAAGCATTTTTGTGTGATTCTGCAAGTAATACATACTCCTTGAAGGTTAGAAAATAATGTGTTTTTTCTTTGAATGTTTGTATTTCCCTGTCCCAGATACACTTGCTGCTAAAAGGAGTATAAAGTTGTCCATTTTTTCCTCTGCATAGATCAATATAGATTTGTAAATAAGATAAAGATGTTTTTATAAAATATTATCATACCATTAACGCTGTTCTGAAAGTTGTTTTTATTCTAATATATCATGAATATCTTCTCATATCAATAAATATGCCCCTCAGTTTTCATCTTTCAGGTGTGTAGATGTGTTTTATTTCACTAGTCTTCGAGGTTTGGAAACAGGTTGCTATTAATTTATCTCTTACATGTATGTTTACACCTGCTCTCTCGGGCCTTAGCATTCCCCTTATCAATTTGCTGTAATGTCTTTGCATATGATTGTGTTTCCTAAGGGAAATCCCAGCAGTGGAATTTCTGGGCCAAGAAGTATGTGTATCTTGAAGACCTTGGAAACCCTCTTGACCTCATCCCAGCGAGGTCTAAAAGTTGTGCTGATTTTCTCTCTAGGGAACAATCAAGCTATCAGCTCTCCTCACCAGCGCTTCTTACAGAACTTGCACTGTGAATCCAGGACTGAAGTCAGGCGTGGAAAGAGCCGCTGATGAAGTAGTTTGTTAGAACCCTGATTTTAACATAGTTTTAATAGGTTTCTGGTCCTCACTAAACAAGCACTAGTAAGCATGTGGAAATTTTAGGAGGCAAAGAAGGCTAATAAACTTCCCAATAGTCTCAGACACTGAGTCCAAGCCCAGAAATGTAGTCGTGCTCACAGGCAGAAGGGAGGGTGTGGGCCAGGCCGANCCCAGTAGTCTCAGACACTGAGTCCAAGCCCAGAAATGTAGTCGTGCTCACAGGCAGAAGGGAGGGTGTGGGCCAGGCCGACCTGAGACCAAGTCTCAGCCCCTTTTTAGAAGTTGGTTAGACCTTGGTTTCTAGGAAATGAGGTAGCAGTGTCCCCCTGGAACTGCTGAAAGGCCTGGAGCGCATCTGTGTGGAAGAGTCGACAGTGCCTAGTACAGAGTAAGCACTCATGCTATGTTTTCGTATACTTTTCTTTTTAAAAAAATATTTATTGTTGAGAATATTACAGATGTCCCCCCCTTTTTCCCCCCTCCACCTGGTTCCCACCCTGTTCATACTTTTCAAATATATCTTTATTGATTTCAGAGAGAGGAAGGGAGAGAGAGAGAAACATCAGTGATGAGAGAGTCACTGATCGGCTGCCTCCTGCACGCCCCCCANTTGACTTTTTTAATATATCTTTATTGATTTCAGAGAGAGGAAGGGAGAGAGAGAGAAACATCAGTGATGAGTCACTGATCGGCTGCCTCCTGCACGCCCCCGACTGGGGATTGAGCCCGCAACCCGGGCATGTGCCCTGACGGGGAATCAAACCCCGATCTCCTGGATCCTGGGTGGATGCTCAACCACTGAGCCACGCCCCGCGGGCAGACATTCTTG